TGAATTCCTTGATCATGTTTATGATTGTTCTTTTAAATTCAGTGTCCTGGGTTATCTCTAGGGGGTTCTCCTTGTAGAACTGTTCTACAGGACTGGTGGGGTTTGGTGGGGAAACAGTGCTTTGGCTTTCCATTTTGTTATTCTTGGTTTTGGGTTTTGGCATGTAAATTTCTTTTGTTGTTTATGATTCTGATATGAGAATTAAGTTGAAGTATGCTTCTGTTTGTATTATCCGGGTGCCTCGAGCCTTTATTGGTTATGTAAAGCTGGTTGGTACAGGGTTCAGGTTCTTTCAGGTTTATTTTGGAGGGAACTGACAGCTTCAGGAGTACCCACAGAAGCCCAATTCAGGTTCCAGTCAGGTACATTCAGGCTTCCTTCACCATGTGGAGGCAGGATACAGGCTCTCTCAGGCAGTCCTGTTCCTTCTCAACCCTATGCCAGAGGGAGGCCAGAGCGGGGGCAGAATTCAGCACTCTCTGGTGGTCTGCTGAGATCCCAGCCTTAGCCTACTAAAGGCAGATCTGCCCTGGGGACTTGGGAGGGGCCTCAAAAAATTCCAGGTAGGGGAAAGGTGTGGCGCAATTAGGGGAAGCTCACCACCACGTGGAGGCAGGATCCAGGGGCTGTACCCTGGGTTCTCAGGCCCTCTGGCAGTTGGAGGCGAGAGGGAGGCCAGATCTTGCACTCTCTAGTAGTCTCGAATGTTTGTATACTTCATACAGAACATCTTTAAAATATTTTATTTATTTATTGCCTGCATGTATGTGAGTGCACCCATGTCATGCAATACCACAGAGGTCAGAAGAGGGCTTTGGATTCCCCAGAACTGGTGTTAAGGATGGTTTGTAGCTGCCACATGGGTTCTGGAAATGGAACCCAGGTCCTCTGCAAGAGTAGTCAGGGCTCTTAACTGCTGAGCCATCTCTCCAGACCCCCCCACCCCCCGTACAGAACATCTTAATCATCTTTATACCCCGTTCCCCACTGGAACCCTCCCATAGACTCCCTCCCCTCTGAACTGCTAAGCCATCTTTCTGAGTCTAGTTTTAGTTTTTTGAGGAAACCTAATATTGAGTTCCATAGTGGCTGGACTAATTTACATTCTCACTAGGAATGTACATGGGTTCCTTTTCTTGGCAATTTGGCCAGCATTTGTTGCTATTTGTTTTCTTGGTGATTACTATTCTGACTGGGGTGATAAAGGCTCTCTAAGCAGTTCAATTTGCATTTCCCTGATGAATGATCTTTGAGAACTGTCTATTCATCAGCCCATTTATTAATTGTGCTGTTTGGGTTGTTTTATTTATTTTTTTCTCAGTATTTAGTTAAGTTCTTTATACACGAACAATAATAAGCCCGACAGATGTGTAGTTACTAAAGAGTTTCCTCTATTTTGTAGGATATCCCTTCACTTAATTGTTTCTTTTGCTGTGCAGAAGCTTTTTAGTTTTATGCAATCTAGTTGTCAATTGTTGGCATTATCTCCTGAGTTACTGGGGTACTTTGGCATACATCTGTAACTCCATTGCCAGGAGGCTGAGACAGGAAGATTCCAATGTTAAGCCAGTTAAGCCAATCAGTAAGCTTCAAGGACGGTAAGAGACTCTGCCTAAAAAAATAAGATGAGGGGCTAGAGAGATGGCTAAGCAGGTAAGAGCACTGGTTGCTCTTGCAAAGGACCTGCATTTGGTTCCTGAAACCCACATGGTAGCTAACTACAGTCCCTAATTTCAGTTCCTGAGGATCCAACACTGTCTTCTGGTCTCTGTGGGCATTGCATGACATGGCTGCATGTACATACTGAAGGCAGAACACTTAAACACATAAAAATAAATCAACGAAAATGAAAAGTGACTGAAAAAGACACCTGACATTGACCTTTGGACTCTATAAGTGCACATGTGCATAGATGCACACACAAACATATACATGCACATATAGATGTATATACAAAGAAAATATGGTACACATGGGGCTGAAGAGATGGTTCAGTGGTTGAGAACACTGGTTGTTCTTGCAGAAGACCCGGGTTCGAATCCCAACACCCACATGGCAGCTAACAATTGCCTGTTTCTCCAATCCCAGGGGATCCAACAGCCTCTTCTAACCTCCGCGGGCATTGCATGTGCACTTATGTACATGAAGGCCTCATACAGGTATACACATAAAATAAAAATAACAAAATTTTAAAAAGAAAATATGGTACACATAAATAATGGAATTTTATTCAGCCATAAAGAATGAAATTATAACATTTTCAATAAACGGATGGAGCTGGAGTTTAACTATGTTAAGCAAAACAAAGCAAATTCAAAAAGACAAATATACATATATGTACATGCAAGTAAAGTGGACCAAGGAAGGGGAGGAAGAGATCTAGAGCATGATAGAACTGTGATGTAAAAGCAGAAAAAGGGCATGTTTTAGTAGAGGAAGGGGACCAGCAGTGGGGAAGGGGAAGCAGTGGAGAAGGAAGAGCAGTGGGAGTGCTAAGAACCAAATTCAATGTCATATTTATGGACAAGTAGTAATGAAACCCACGACTTTGTATGTTAGCTAAAAATTAATTTAAAGAAAGAAAAATACAAGAGGTTGCATTATTTACTAAAGGTATTTTATGCTATTGAAATAGATACAACTGATAGTAAATATAGCTCTGGACCTTAAATTTTCTGTGATGGCTGTTAGGACAAGTCTACATGCTTTACTTTATAAGACATAAAACATAGCTAATACTCGAAAAAATCTCTTTACGATAACAATGTTTTCAACAGGGAAAATCATCAGTAGAGCACATTTTACAATAATATCTGAAAATTAAAATTTGTAAAAAGCTTGTATTTGAGAAAACTTAGTAATTAATTATTTACAACTCTGGGAAATTAAAATTTGTTCCATGATCATCGTGAATTACTTGAGCCATAGGAAGTCTGCTGTAAATGTGAATATCTCAATTTGGAACTTAGGGTATGCAGATATGATTACAGTATCTTTCTTATTGACAGCTTGAGTTTACATATTTAGATAAGCACAATGTCACTTTTTTTCAATTCCCTCATCAAAGAAAGGATTGCATTTTGAAAGTCAAAAACAATGCAAAGATAAACACAATTTTCCAATTTTTGTATGTTCTGTTCCCTGGCTGGAAGTATTTATGTCATGTGATAATTTCCCACATTTTCTTATGAGAAAAAAAAAAGTTAAATACCAATAATTTCCAGATTGCCTACACTTTACACTGCACTAAGCTGTTCAGCAGCATATTTAAAAAAATTTAAATACTGAAGGAAAATCCGAGGATCAACTGATAGTGAGATTCTCATAATTTGATAGCTGCTCTAAGCTTGGCTGAGCGCCCTCTGGGGTTAACTTGTACATCTTCATCTTCTGGGGTAAGTACCTTCTTGTGCATCAGTTCCCACATTAAAGGAGCTCTTGCAGAGATTCCATTGTAACTTTCACGGTCTGAACCCAGCTGTGATGATTGTGTCACCTTCTGTCTAACACTTAGGTTAAATCTTTCCATCATGCTTATCCCAAGCAAAAACCTTTTTACAATGCGATCTTCTAATGAATGGAAGGAGAGGGTAACAAGGCGACCACCAGTTTTCAAAAACTTCTGAGCTGTCTTCAGTCCTGTATAAAGTTCATTGAGCTCATTGTTCACAAATATGCGAAGAGCTTGGAAAGTCTTGGTAGCAATATGGGTGGATCGCTGTAACAAGTCTTTTCTTGCGTAAACAGCAGAGGGAGGAAAGGCACCTAGACAGATTTTATAAAAATAGGAAAAAGGACAGGTAATATTAACACTTATCACTGTAAATGTTCTCAGTATTTATGCATATTTAAGGAACTAAATTTTCTAATAAACAACATTTTTACCTCTTTCTTACATTCAAACATTCTTCATAGTTTAAAACTATGTGTCATAACTATCTTTCATACCTCAACAATAACTGGAACCAAATAGAGATAGAAAAATAGAAGGAATAGCAAATTAATTGAAGATAAAATAACATGAAGTTTCACAACTTTGCAAAAATCCACTGACTTGCAGAAATAAGAATTTCAAAGTACTATGAATAAAATAAAGAAAACCATGCACAGGGAATTACTATAAGCTAAGGAGAGCAAGATAAAAGTCATCAAAGCAACAGAGAAAACAACATGTAATAAAAATGACAAGGAAAACATGAAAATCAGAAATTTTTCTCAGGCATAATGGATGTGAAAGACAGTAGAGTAATATTTAAAGTTAAATGTTGAAATAAAAAAAAACTGTTTTGTGTGAGTGCTATGTACAGTAAGATTATCCAAGAACAATTGTTGAAAAGATAGATATTATTAAATAAACAGAAGTGAAAGAATTCATTGTTGACAGATCTGCATTAAAAAATGTAAAGGAAATAATTCAAGTTAAAATGAAAAGACAAAATTTTGACTTGAATATACAGGGAAAAGTAATGTATGGAAATGAATATATATCCTTGAATTTTTTTAAAGACAGAAGATAAAGAGAAAGAAAAGAAAAAAATTAAGAAAAAGAAAAGGAAGAAAGAAAGAATGAAGGAAAGAAAGAGAGAAAAAGAGATGTAGAGGCCACATCTTTAATCCCAGTACACAAGCAGGTTCGTGGATCTCTACAAGATTAAGGCCAGCCTGGTCTACAAAGCGAGTGCCAGGCCAGCTCAGACTACCAGGAGACCTTGTCTCAAAAAGACCAAAAAAATAAACAAAAAGCAAACAAAAAACAGAGGATGTTTTATAACTATAAACTCACATAACACTATACAGAAGGTTTATCCTACATATACAGATATGTATACAATAGTATGAGGATTGGAGAGGGTAAATGCAACTATACATGAGGTTTATCCTATAGATATATATACAACGACATCTGATAACAATAGTATGAGGACTGGAGAGTAAATGCATCTATATACAAGGATTATTCTATAGACATAGACACAACGACATCTGGTAACAACAGCATGAGGATTGGAGAGGGTAATGCAACTATCTCAAGGTTCTTATAGTTTACCTTAAGTGTGAATTTGCATATTGTGACTCCTAGATAAACTGCTCATGTGGAAATAAGGCTAACAGGCTTATAGAGAGTAAAAGTTATCCAAAAAACCCCCTGCTAAACACAAAAGAAAACATTAGAAAAAAAGCCCAGGAAAACAAGAAAAGGAAAGATAAGTAGCAGGGGCAACTAATTACACATTATCAATAATCACACTAAATAAAAGATACCAAATATCTAATAAAAGGTTGACAGATTGTAAAATCAGCAAGTACAAATTATATTTTACACATAACAAACACATTTTAAATCTAAAAGCACAAACAAGAGCAAAAAGTAAGCAAAAGGCTGACAAAACATAGGTAAGCTTAAAACAGCACGAGAGAATATATTATTAGACAAAATGATCTTCTTAAAAGGAGAGTTATTTGAATGCAAGAGAAACCATTTTTATTGAAAATAAGGTCACTCTAGCACTAAGAAACCATTATAGGGGCTGGAGAGATGGCTCAGCAGTTAAAAACACTGTTCTCCCAGAAGACTCAGGTTCTAATCCCAGCACCCACATTGCAGCTAACAACTGTCTGTAACTCCAGTTCCAGGGGATCCAACAGACTCTTCTGAGCTCTGTGGGCACTGCATGACACGGGTGCACTTACCTACATGCAGGCAATACATGCATACACATAAAATAAAAATAATAAGCAAAATATTTGAAAAAAATAAACCATTATAAAGGTACATTCATCTAATAACGTTATTTCCAAAATAGAACTATTTCAGAAATACAGCCACATTTATACAGGTACTTAGTTTCTGAACAGTGGTCAAGTTATTTCCATGGAGAAAGAATGATCTTCACAACAAAAATTATTATCTGCTGCCAGGCATGGCAGTACATGCCCAACATGCAGGAGGCAGAGGCAGTCAGGTCACTGTGAAACTGAATCAGCCTGGTCTTCATAGCAAGTTCTGGGCCCAAGTATATTTTCTGCTAAAAAAAATGCACCTCAGCCCTTACACAAAATACAATTAAAAATGGATCACATCAGCACTTGGGAGGCAGAGGCAGGCAGATCTCTGTGAGTTCAAGGCCAGGCTGGTATACACAGGGAGTTCCAGGACAGCTGGGGCTACAGGAAGACCCTGCTTCAAAAAGGAAAAAAAAAAAAAAAAAAAAAAGGCTCACAGTCTCTTGGACTATCCTGACCAACAACTGGAAGGAGGTTTCTCCTGCCTGGCATTATGTTTTCTTGTTAGATAACCTTCAGCTGTACACATGCACTTATATATCTATTGTATGTGTATTTTTCAGTAGGACTTTGAACTAATACATTTCCCTCTGTTTTTTGCACACCATCTAGGCAATATTTATTGCAGGTTATTACCACAGCCTTTGATTAATTCCCAGCATTTGAATGTAAGATCCTATTTCTGAAGACAGTCTATACTTCTAACAGTACTGTAAGCATAGCCAAATACACATGGCTGGAGAGGTCATGGACTCTAGAGAAAAAACTATCACATCCCTAGACCAATGTAATTTCTTCATTCTAAATATGCATCCTCATAGTTACATACAAGTGTACCTTATCACTTATCAAAGAAGCTTCTTTTTGCAACAGATGGAGACTATTACACACTTTCACAAACGGTCAAATGCAAAGAATAAATGTCTGTGAGGTGATTAGCTCTAACTGACATATATTCAATGCAACCACTACACCTGAGATGAAAGCATCTCTCAACTCTCACCAAGAAGTTTCCTTATGCAGCAAATGGTGAATAACACAGAAACCTACAACTCACCAATGTGCAGAGAACAAGAGGCTGCAGAGTGCTTATCCCTTAATAAGACACCTATTTCAAACTTCTGCCTCCCAAGGCTAAGGCAAGAAGGGGAAGAAAGATTTTAAGAGTCAGAGGTGGTAGCTGATCAAGAGGAAACAGACCTTTCCAGACAGCTGGTCAGTTACACATGAACCCACACTGAAGGATATTTGGGGACACAAATAAGACTCTCTCTATATATTAAAGTACAGGGGGTGGAGAGATGGCTTGGCAGTTAAAAGCACTGACTGCTCTTGCAGAGGACTCGGATTCGATTCCCAGCACCCACATGGCAGCTACAAACCATCCATAACTCCAGTTACAGAGGAATCTGAAGTCCTCTTCTGAACTCCGCAGCATTGCACGACATGGGTGCACTCATATACACGCAGGCAATCCACTCATACACATAAAATAAAATTAAATAAATAACAATAAAAAATAATAAAGTACAGTAAATTGGGTAGGGGGCAATAAGTTGAGGATAGGGGAGGGGATCTAAATACCATGAAATTATATTGTATGAAACTCACAAAAAAATTCAAAAAAATTTTAAAGAAATTGGATCATAGACCCAAGGATAGACACTATCACCATAAAATTTACAAATGACGACACTCTTTATCCTGAATTTACAAAGAAACATTACAACTTAAGAAGCCAAACAACTTATTTAAAAAGTGGGAAAACATTAAATAGAGAGTTCATAAGAGATATACAAAAGACTCATAAATAGATGACAGCCATTCATATTGTTAGTAATTATGGAAATGTAAATTAGGATCACAACAAAATATCACTACAATTCTACTGCAATGGCTAGATCCTAGATAGACACCACATGCTGAAACTGACTTATGTAAAATACACAATATGAATAATGTCTACCAAAAGAAAGAATGGAATTATTAGTTTAAAAAGTCTACCACCACCACCACCACCACCAACGACAACAACAAAAAGATCAGACCTGGATGGCTTCATTACTGAATTCTATCAAGAATTCTAAATTCTAAAGGATTCTAAAGAATTTGTAAATAGAAATAATATCAATACTTACAAAATCTCCAAAAAAGCAAAGGGATACTTCCTAAATTATTATGATCTTAGTACTACTCTGAAAATAAAGTCAAAGGAAACACAAGAAAAGAAAGAAATACGAATATAGATATAGTAACCCTCAATAAAATATTAGTACAACAAATTCAAGAGAGCATATAAAGGATTGTACACCATGACCAAGTGAAATTTATTTATTCCTGGATTGTAACTACGTTTTAACCTGTGAAAACCAATCTATTATCAAAATAAAGGTAAAAAGATTACCTTAATCAATGTGGAAAACATACATAACTCAACACTATTATACAAATAACTTTATGTTAAAATATTAAAAATAGGAATAGAAACCACTCAAAAACATAATAAAGATCACATATGGAAAATTCACAGATAGATCATGTTCAATGAATGGAAAAACTTAAGAAATTTTCTTGTACAATTAGAAACAAGAGAGAATAACAAGCTAAACCACTTCTATTCATCAAAGTATTAGAGCAACTGGAGAACAATGAGGGGAGAGGGAAAAAAGCATTCAGATGGGAGAGAAAGAAGCAAAATTATCTTTATTCAAGACGTCAGGATGGTAAGTGGAAAACTGTAAAGACTGTATACACACAAACTGTCAGGACCAATAAATAAAGCAGAAAACAAAATCAACATGAAAAAAGTTGTTTCAATATATCAGCAATCATAAAATGAAGTAATCATAAAAGTAAATTAAGAAAACAAATCCATTTACAATAGCAAAAAATGAAGTGCTTAGAAATAAGCTAACAAATTAAACTCAAAACTTGTGTTTAGAAAGTTAGAAAACATTTTTAAAGATATTGAAGACTCAAAT